GATGTCAGGATTATTCCGGATGGGTGTATGACTGCATGGGATATGTGCTGACTTCATAATTTTAAGAAACCCCCACCATGCTGTCAGGGAAGAGCTGATATTTTGAAAGCATAAATTCCGTTTGATATTTGAGCTATTAAACGGCAAATCTGAAATTATATTACTGCATATTTCCTGTTCTGTGTCTATCCAGGGATCATCTAAGGGATTATGTTTTATCCATGTAGAGATGTATTGTAGTTTATTTGCTAAGTAGTAGTTTTGGAAGATAGGCAGATCTAGTCCCCCTCTATCTTTAGGTTTCTGTAGTGTCTTTAAACTGATACGAGGGGGTTTATCTTTCCATAGAAATTTAGAGATGGAAGAATCTAGAGATTTAAACCAGTCGGATGATGGTTTATTGGGGATCATTGAAAATAAGTTTTAATTCTAGGTAAGGCCATCATTTTAACTGAGGCTTCCCTACCCATAAATTGGATCAGAAGTGATTTCTCTTTCGTCTCCCACAGCTCACTCAACCTACCATGCTCATTATTGGTTATTTTATTATGATGAATTTGTGCATCAGGGGACCCAGGGGCTCTAATTCCCTGGAGCCACTGTCCTAGATATTATGTAGAAAAACCAAGATACAATAAATACTCAACAATCTAAGCAGCAGCTGGTGCTTGACATAGGCTGTAATAACAGAAAGAAGACATTTGAATTGCTAAAAGAGAAATAAATCAGCTTTTTGATGCCATATGGTGTTTCTAGTGTAGTGTTTATATCCCAAATCCCACCCTGGCCAGCATAAGGAAAATGGGCAGCTTCAGCTCACTGCTGAGCTGCAACACCTGGCTGTCCTATATGCTTCTCTCTCCCCAGATATGAGTTTCATATACAACATTGATATCTTATATTTGCATCAGACTGACTTCCCCTTAATCATACCGATGGCCAGATTTTATCATCCAACAATTTGTACTGTTCATTGCATTACAGTATGAGAACACAAACATTCTTCTTCCTCCACATGCTGTGTAGTCCAGCCATGATTAATGTTCATCCAGTCCAAGTCATTATTCTGACACTTCTGCTTTGAGCAATATGTGTTTAACTAATCTGATATTTCAACATGCTCAAATTATTCTGTTACTGTTTTTGTAACCTCCAGACATATTGAAAAAAACTTCATATTAAACAAGGATATGCTTTGAATCACCAGAACATAACATTGATCATAATCCAAAAATCCAAGCCCAAATGTGTGCACTGTATTTATTTTGTATTTCAATGTGATAATCCCAAAAAGGGTGTTGTTGATGGCCAGATCCTATTTGAATAGGACCTTCTACAATGTTTGGACTTGCAGGGACTGCAATTTAACATTTTCATGGAGAGAAGGAACAAAGGAAGCTGCACAGAAACCATTGTTTCAAGTATTTTTGATTTTACTCATAGATAAATAGAAGAGTCACTTTTAATTATTTCTGCTAAATACCAGAGTAATATAACAACTTTTGAAGTATACTTACAGTTTCTTAATATTTGCTAGGGTTGCCTTTAAATGATTTCGGATTTCCTTTTAACAGTATATTACAACAGTGGGGTGGAAGTTTGGCTAATTCAGCTGACAGAACCTGTCACTGAGTCAGGTTTGTTGGCCAACCTAAAGCATAGGCCACTAATTCGACTCAATTTAATGTAATGCTTGGAGCCCTCTTGCATTTTAAAGACCTACTTTTCTAGCCTAAATTCTGAGCTATTGGATCTCTTTTTTCAAATAATATACTTTTGCCTGTTTTCTGAAATGCATCGGTCCATTCTTTACCAAAACACCTACAAATCATGGAGGAGCAACTCCTACATATCAATTGGGAAGCTAGTCTCAGGATTAAAAGCTTTACCCTTTTTCTTCCAAATGTAACAATGGTTATTTGGACCCAAATTTCAGTTTTTGTTTCATAAGATCACAGAATGTGCCTCCAGAAATCAATCTCTTTAACACTGTGTGCATTTGCACTCTGTAATTTGTTTTGTTTTGTTGTTTTTGTTCTTTGCTTTTGAATTAACGGCTTCCTTCTTTCTGGGTGCCCTTTCAGTCCATGTCACTAAAGGACTTGTTTCGCTGTGAATAATAACATTCCTTTACCAGCTCTAGCCAACATTTCTACACTTTTTAAAAGATAGTTTAAAGTACTACTAAATTAGATTAACATTTAAAGAAAGTTTACATTTGTCTTAGTGTGTTTAGGAGGTGATATATGACTAATACTTAAAGCGGCAATGTGTAATAATAACAGGGATTTACTGATAAAAATCTAATATATTATACGTAAGTATAATACATGATAGTGTAAGCCAATAAAACTAGTTACTGTAGATATCACCATTATTCCGAATGTGAATGCAGCAACCTTTAAAGGTAGAACTGAGATGGGTCAGACATTTCTAAAGCAATAATATGCTATAAGATGGTGTTACTCTCCAGCACTTAGACTTACACAATTAATAATAATTGATTTCAATGCATACAGATTTTTAACAGTGAATGAGCAGCTTACAACAATTAAATGAACATTAGCATTTATAAAGTGCAATAGTGATCAGAATAGTGTAGGAGCAAAGGAAAACCAGTTTAACATCATGGTGCAAAAGGGATTAATATGAAAGGCTCAGTGCATAACAGTGCAGTATAGAATGCAGCCGCACCGTTGACGTTTCACAGGCCATAAGGACTGACATTACTCAGACAACACTCCTCAAACTACGTACAAAAGTAACTTTACTTAATGTAGTGCTAAGATCTGTTAATAAAACATGTAGAATAAAGGATTTTTTATATCATGCACACCACATGGGTATCAGGGTTCCCACGGATTAGTAAAAAGTCTTTAAAACGATTGAAGTCTTCAATAAACAATCTTAAATCAGTCTTTCATAGGTCTTCAAAATTTTTCATCATCATAAATAGGATTTTATTTTTGTAATCCATAATTAATTTTTTTTTTTTTACATTTTCCGAATGGCTCGCTGTAACCATAATTGGTTCCCTCCCATTAGCAGAGCCAATAAAAACTATCTTGCGGCCAGACCTTGGGGTAATAACTAACTTTTTGGGGAAGTGTACATTTAACGAAAATTGGCCATCCAGCCAAGAGTTTTTTTAATGCCCAAAACCGGTACAGGGAATGTATATAAGGCATGGCATGGCCGTTGAAAGTGGGGGTGCTGAGAGGGAGATACATTTTTTTTTTTTATACTTTGCACAATATATAAATTTCTTATGAATATTTGGGGAAATGATTTTGACTCTCGTGCTCTCTACTATTACGTGTATTTGTATTCTAATTAAATTATTTTGAGGCCTAATCAACACAAAATCATGGAAGTTACGTTGTCATGGCAATGTCAAGCAAGCTAGAGCGTAGTATCACGCTCATGACAGCAGACTAGTAATTCGAAGAAATTTGTTAAAGAAATGCATTTCGTATTCGTCTGTTTACAAAAGACTTTATCTCCATGACCCCAGAGGGCACCTGAACATTTATACACTTGTAACCAGGCAGGGCACCCTGCCTGTAGCTCAAAATGAGCATTGTGCCGCCGCACACTTTCATATCTATTCGTATCATTTAGTTTAACGTAACCAAAGTGTTTTAGAGTGTTATTTTGATCCCGTGTTCTTTGTGTAATGGACAATAACGTTTGAATAGTATAATAATAAAATTACTGCATAAAATAATTTTTTGAGCTAATAGTCATGTGTGACATTAACGAGGTGACTCAGGTACATGGCAGCAAATCTACATTATTATAGTGTTTTTGTGAAGTTTAATTATTAGCGCATATATTCACCTGAGAACTGATGACATCTGTGTGTTACACACCCTGTTTGCTTGCACTGAAGTGTATATGACAATAAAGTAGTGAATCTTAATCTATTTACTTATTTATTTTTATTGTTTTTTTTTAAATAGACCTATAGATGTTCTCAGCACCCGCTGTTTAAAAGTACTTCCAGTGGCCCTGAGGCATGGTGTATTTTGTACAAGAAATCATTAAAGCTTGGCACGATGGGAATCCAGGCAGTGGAGTGAAACACAAAGCATAAAAATCAGATTTGAATTTTGAATTTAGTTCACTAGTTCTTCAAAAATAATTCATTCAAAAAGTTATTAGTGTGTTTTAGCTTTCTTCTTATATCTTCGTTGCTATGCAGTATTATTACCCTTCTTACCCTACTACACTACTATTCATACGGTAAGTCCCCTATGACAATAAGGTTTAATTCTATTATATTATATTGTGTTCTATATGGACAGTTTAAAAATGTAAAAAATTTCTACTGGTCCGGAATGTACTGATTTATGAGCATATAAACATAATTCGGTAAATTGCGGTAAATTTACCTCAATCAGGTTTTCTTAGCTTTTTTATTTTCTTAACTTTTCATTTCAAGTGGCATTAAAAAGTCTTTAAAAAAGTCTTGAATTTACCTTTCCTTACAGAAGTTAAAAAAAAGGCTAAAAGCAAAAAAAACAAATAAATATTTTTTTTATTATATAAAACATGTAAAAATGTATTGTTGCACAAGTTTAAAGGGGTTGGCAACAAAAGTGCAAAACTCATTAAATAGAGATACTTTGAGCAAAGCCTTGTCATGTCCTGGTCTAAAATAAATTAACCTAATTATCTCCTACTAAGCAGTTTGTCTGCACACCTGGCATTCATCAGCTGCTGTTTTTCATGAATCTACTGTTAATTGATGTTATTTAAAGATCTCTCACTCACCATCATGGATCAGTACACATTTCTATTCCACTGTGAGCATGGCAAGAATTAAAGTTGATTAATTAGAGTTGTTCAAAAACTGGGCTATAAACACAATTCAATCTGCCTCATTCTCTCTGAGCAGATTTTGTATTACACCTTGGAAAATTAAATGTACTTTTTAACACAGATTCAAATATCACCAGCCATCATGATGGTACAGTTGCTTCTCTCCTCTCCCACAGAGCACGATGAGTGTGCCAGTGGCCAAAGCTTGTGTGATGAGAACGCCATCTGCACCAACACCATCATAGGACACCTGTGTACCTGCAAGCCAGGCTATGTTGGGAATGGTACCATCTGCAGAGGTAAGATCATGCCCTGGAACATCCCTCTGGACACAAAGAAAGATCCTAAATCCTTCCTCACATCTGTTTTTAGCTCATTGTGTGTTTGATGCTGCCATGGTTCTCCTATATCACACAACCAGGCAGCAGCTGCAGTAGAGATGATGAAAATTGATTATTGACCACTTTCAGCCTGTTTCCAGATACCCTTTTCCCATATAGTTCTCCTTATTGACATTTTACTCAAACACCTTGCCAGGTTTACTGGTTAGAATTCAGAACCTGTTTTCTTTTCTAAGTTTTGTGCTTTTATCCAAATTGAGACATTTAATTTACAACCCTTTTTTGTTTTCTTGTCACTAGAGTATTTAATATGCGCCTTATGTTTATGTGTGCTGCAGTGATGTACTTTTCAAAACCACTTAATTATATTTGTGTGCACCAAGTACACAGTTTATTTTTATATTTTTTTTTTTCGGCACAAATAAGCAAGAGACTCCTTTCTGGAACGATAGATTTATACATTTTTAAATTGTGTTTACAACCTGCTAACAAAATTGCCTAGACATACATTTACATTGCATTTTCAAAAAAAGGACAGGCTTAGCTATTGGTCCAAACCATCTGCTTCCAGGATCATTTCAACACAGAACATATATTTTATGGTGAACAATTTATGCCTTGTAGCTAATAGCTACAAGGCATAAATAGCCTATGGCCGCAGGATGTGGTGGTGCTGGGGTTGCTGCATCATCCCCTAGTGGTGAGAAAGAGAAAATTTATTAAAAATACTTTGCACAATTTAGATATTTCTTATGAACATTTTGGGAAATGATTTTGACTTTTTTTTACTCATACATGTATTCTTATCCCCTGTTATTCTTATTATAGCCTATAGACATTTAAAGTGCCAGGATTACAGCATATGATCCTACTGTACACTGAATTTGGGTGGATACAAGCATATGCATGCATATTTGTGAAAGCACAAACCAAAAAAGCAGTTCCATTCATTTTACACACACAATACAAAAGTCACCTGCTTTAAAAAGCAACTTTGCACGTCTTAAATACATGCAAAGCTTTGGAGGATCAGGCCCATAATGTTAGCAAGGTTAGAAATGCTGACAGAAATACTGTTGAAAATTTACATTGCAGGGGACACATACTGATTTTTTTATTTTAGATATTTTTACAAAAAAAAATGCAGAGGATGTTTTTCTAATCTGTAAAACACTGCTGTAAGATTTGAAAAGGAACTGAAAACATTTAGTTTTAGGACAATGCAGTATATGTTTATGCATACGCATTTAGCAGACGCTTTTATCCAAAGTGACTTACAAAGTACAAACAATGTCACAGTTATCATCAATATGACAATAAGTTCTCTAGAGGAAAATGGTTATTGAGAATCAGTGGTGACAGCAAAGAGATAGAGGGAAGTGCAGAAAGAGTAGTAGTGGGGGGGTACAGAGTTTCCTGAAGATAGGCAGGGATGCTGCTGTTCTTGTCGAGCTTGGTAGGTCATTCCACCATCTTGGAGCAACACATGAAAACAGTCTGGATTATCTTAAGCGTGGTTTAGGCACTGCTAGATGACAATCCATTGCTGACCGCTCTCTGCACACTTTTTTGAAAACAATAAAGTGTGCAGAGACAAATAGCTTTTTGAAAATATTTAAAACATGATATCCAGGCTGCTTCATATTTATTCATATATAACAAGCACTTTGCAAAAGATTTTAAAAAGCAATAGCTTGTGGTAAGATTACAGAGAAAATAATTTTCACCTGCTAATATTTCTGCAAGGGATATTAGAATATTTTTTTTTTCATCTTATCCAATTTTCCTACAGGTATATTTGCCAAGCATGGTTTAAAAGCTCACACTGCAATTTTATGTGAAGTCAAAAGAAAGGTTCATTCACATTTTCAGGTGTGGAATGTAGTTCCTATAACTGTTCCTATAAAATTGTGAATCACGTGGGCTGAAAATCTTTCTATATATCAGGTTAACTATTTCAGAGTCTCTATAATATTTGTTTATGGCTGCTAAGATCAAGTATTAGAAATTATAGTTTAAAATGTTAAGCTGCAATAAAAGGACAAGGAAAAAACACATGATATAATATCAACAGTCTACATATTTGTATTGTTTTTGTATTTTAAATGTATTGTTTTTATATTTCTAATGTAAAGATAAAGACATCCTACAAGTTTGCATGAATTTCTTACGGAAAAGTTTCATGACTCATGCATATGCATATAATCGGCAGCTTTCCAAGTCATAAGGGTATCATTAAGCCTAATGAGGCTTTGGGTTTCAGAACGGCTTAAGCATGATCACATTAGGCCTCATTACATATATGTAAATCAACATAAATTGTCATTTGTCTCAACGTCTTATGACATATTTTGTGGATACAACTTATCCATATACAAACAGACAACAGTGGCAAAAGACACTTCCTCAGTCTAAAAAAATATTCTGTGCTCTTTGCACCAAAATATTCATTTAGACAGACAAGCTAAAATAGAATGTAGCATATTTGTGCACAAAAAGACACACTAATACCACTATTATACTCCAAATCAAATCTGTTGTTCACTTAGTTTCTTCAGATAGATTTCGTCTTTAACAACCGTATCCCAATCCCAAAGATCACAATAGCACATGGATTTTCTAACACTCAAACATTAACAGGCCTTTATTCTTGATGACCAATTAAACCACTCAGGCCAACATCCTTTTAACTGCTACTTTAAAGAATTGCAGATTAAAAACAATGACGTAAGTGTGTGCTACTTATTCCACAACTTACTGAGGTCAGACATAAAATGTCCTGTCAGTTAAGTGGTATGCTTAAACTTGTAATATGCTGCAGCAAGTGTACATTTTTGATTTTTGTGTGAAGGCAAGGACAACCAGAGACAGATTAAAAGTACAAACACGGAGGCATCATATTATCAGAGGAAGGGAAGTATGTGTGGCCCGCTCTAATCAAATGCAAAACAGATATTAGAATGGAAAGCAGGTAGAAAGCAGGTCTAGAAAGAGATCAATGTCATTTTTAAGTGTCTTCACTGCAGGGAAGTTTCTGTGTTTACTTCATATTCATGCAAAATAAATACAAATGCAATGCAGACTTATCTATGCAAAAATGGAAAAAAATGGAAAAACAAAACCTGACAATCAAAATCTTGGACTTAAAGTCTTTATCCATGTTAGAACTGTTTGAGGAGAAAGAGACCTCAAAGATATAAAGTATTAACAGAACTCATCAATGGTGAAATGAATCTTCTTATATTGAATATAAAACATTAGTCTTGCAATAAACCTTACTTAAAATAACTAAGATGCAGTGGTTAAAAAGGGGGAAGCCACCTACAGACAATGAAGATCTATTTATTGGACTGGATTACTGATTGGAATGCATTACCTCTCCTCACACTGTGAAATTTATGTTTATATTGAGTGAATGCACTTCGTCGGAGCTGTGAAGATGAACATCTCTTGAGACTAATTAAGTTATTTAAGTGCCTTGCTGCAAGATAAGTCAAATGGTTTTCCGGCTCATAGTTGCACACATACACATTCCACCATTTCTTTCCTCTTCATAAACTAAACACATTACAAACAGTTTATAAAAATATTCAATGATGTGGATTTTCAATAAGGGAATAGAGTTTTATCTGTCGCTTCATCGAGACTATTTGCTTTATGCTGACAGTTTGAAATTAGTTTATGTCACAGAGAAAGTAGTTAAGCAATACACTATACTTGGGTTTGTTGGTGCATTAAAAACCTATATAAAAATGTAAATTCTCTGTACTTGAATGCTTTATCTAGACAAAAAATGCAAATCATGAGTGTGACATCAGCTACAGTGGATGGGTCCTTCCACTACTAATAAATAAACCTAAATTACCAAAAAATATAACATATTTGTTGTATTATATGCATAATATTTATTAAATGCTTATCTTAAAGGCATAATTAAGTGATATGTAGGAACAACTAGTAGCTAAAATCTTTGAATAGTTGACGGCAGATTTGCACGAACTAGGGAAAAGCATGGATAATTCACTCAATAAGCAGTGTTTGCTTTTCTTATTAAGACCCTTTAACCATTCTTTTAATTGTGGATTAGATATAAATTTATAACAGCAAAAAAAAGCTGTCAATTTTGGCATCAGCTGTACAGATAATGAACCCATATACAGCAATTGCTTTCGACAGTGACACTCCTACTCATTGATGACATTTGTCAGAAGCAGATTGGAGAATACTTAGAATGCCATTAAATCTTACTGCATCCTGCCTACTGGGTGCTGACCAATTAGTATTATGTGAGAGGAGTTGGGGTATTCTGTCTGGATTTCTCCCTCCCCCTGAGATCTCATTACTTTGTGATGGCAAAAGGGTTGGCCAATCGACTAGCGTCTTCCATCTCATTCCCCCCATACATCATCACTGCCCGCTCTGGGATAAGAAATTAGTCTGTGTGTGTGAGAATGCTACTTCTCAGCTTGTCACTGCTAATGTTTGTGAGGTTTTAGCTGTTCTTAAAAAAATAGACCAACACAAAGAAGGTAAAATCTGTTTTGAGGCTCACTAAGATGATGTTAATTTGTTATCACATAAATGTGTGCGTCCATCTAGGATTATCTACATTTATAAAATTAATTAACACATTAATTTATATTTTATCACAGAATTAATTTCCAATGATTGAGCTTGACCTCTTATTCTTTGCTGATGGTTTGAATGTATTAAGTTGTAGCTTTTGAAATGATTAAAAAATTCAGGTACTATAGCGTTCTAGAGGACATCTCCAAATGTTTGCCCTGTGTCAAACCTCACAGGCAGATAGGTGATAAATAACAGCAACCTTATGATGAACAACTTTTCTGAATACCTGTATATTTATTTCACACATTACGACTGTACCCTAAAAGCTTTAAAAAAAAAAAAGCTTTAGGTTATGCCTTTTTTCTTAGTGTTATTTAGAAAATTATTGG